ACATGCATCTCTTTATCAATCTATATGTATGCATGGATATAATGGCACACAAGTTCAGCTTGTAACACACACTATATCTTCTAGTGTTTCTATTCTTGAATATACAAAAGGCAATGCAAAACTCCTGGGGAACATCATCATCATTTATTCGTTAATATTAGAAAGAAATGCTACAATGATGATACATTGATGAATTATAATTTATTGTTAAAAATGAAAAAATTAAAACAAATATTTGAAAAAGGTAATGTAAACCGAGAGACCTTTCAATGCAACATACTAAAACTAGATGCAATTCACATCAGCACAAATATTTATTCATAGCTAGAAGAAAATATTGTGGCAAAATGATCTTTAAAATGATATTAAAAAAAAACAAAAACAACCCACCAAATAACTATTGTGAGCAATTGTTTTTGTCACTAATCAGCCAGCCTAATATAGTTAGCAGCCAATTGTGCTAGTATGCATTGATTTCCCCTGAAACTGTTAATATTAAATTTATGTATGGAATGTATAGTGTGTTGTCATATCCAGTTAATAATCTGTGTGTGTGTGGTGGGTGGGTGTATAGATAGATAGATAGATAGATAGATAGATAGATTTTAAAAAATCATTGAGTGTTACAGTAAAATAGTCACACATTTTATATTTGGTAAAATTGCATACATCTTTTTAACCAGCAAATCCAAAGCAGTAAAATAGCTGATTATCTTTAATACACATGTAGCTAGTCAAAACTACATTCCTCTTTTTAAATACCAGCTCAATAAAACAGTTTGTGTGTTTCTGTCTACGCCAATGCGAGGAATTGCTAGACTGCAGAACACTAGTACAAGTCACACTAGTCATTGCATATTTGAGACAATTTCGCTATAATATTAATGTGTATTTCAATAATAAGTATTATTTAGCACTTTCACTGGAATAAGCAAGATTTTATGTGAGGAAAAAATTGAATGTACTATATTATATCTTGATTGAAGTGATGCCTCTATATTAATAAAAGCCATTGATTTAACATTTAGTTTTCTTCGTCGGCTCCTCACCTATCTAGAAGTGATTTCTTTGGTGATAACTAACAAGTCATGCTGAGAGTCTAATGTACAATAGAAAAATGTCACTACTACTAATGTATGCATGAAGTTAAATAAAGTAACTGTTAAGAGAATGTCAGACAGTTGCTCCTTAATAAGATACAGTTACACAATGAAATTATGTTGTTAATTTTGTTACATCATTGAATTAATCCTAAATTACTGTATAATGATGGACAGACCTATTCATAATACTCATATACTCCTTTTCACTCTTGGGGGGAAAGCTCCAGGAAAAGATTTCTACCTTTTATATGAAACAGGTTCAACATTCTTCCTTTTTAATACAAAGGTAAATGTCTCTGGCATTTTGTGTCACTGTGGGTTACAGCCATTTCTCTTATGGTCTCATTTCAGAAATGACTTAAAAGTATTTTAGAACATTACAGCCCTTAAGGTAACTAGAAGAAGAAAAATGACATTTCTTATTCTGACAAACGCACAAAACATTTATGAAAGCAGAAAATCAGAAAAGCCTGCTTTCTTTAAAAAAAAAAATCAATCAAAACCAGGCCTCCTTTTCTGTTGTTGACAACCTCTTGCCAGACTGAAATGGGCAGTGTGTACCCTGGATTCAACCAGATGAGTAGGGAAGGGAAACCAAGGGTTTCTGGCCATTCTCGACCTATCACTGATCAAAGTGACCCAGAGAAGAACTCCTTTTAAAAAGTTAAGATTTATGCCTTTTGAGGTTATCAGCTATTCTTCTGTACACAGAACTGGGATGACCCTTTTAAGAGAACCATATTTTTATATTAAAAAAAAACATGCATAGGCAGAACAAGTCAGTCAAATGCCATGTTTTAAACTTCTAGTAGATAATTTAGAACTTATGTTTCTCGATCTCTTCCACCCAAACAAAATCTTAATTTGCTCTGGAATGTGATGTCTGATTTTCCTGCACCAGGGCAGATTATCACATAAACAGAATCAAAATCATTCATCAAAGAAAGAATGCAAACACAAGGTCTCCTATGCTACCTACAGATACCTAAATCTATGTGATCAAATATGAACACTCAGACATTTTCACAATACACTTCCTCGTCATGTCCTATTACAATGTTTTGTCGTAGCAAATGAGAAAAAAAATCTGTATTCCTGAGGTATGCAAACATGTAGTGTTCCCAGTAATATACTATTTTTAAAAAATATATCATTTTTTGTTGTCTAGCTCTAACCTTTGTACTAAAATCTGCCAGGGACAGAGTTTAAAAGGGCGGAGATTTGGGGGGGGAGGGGGGAGAAAGAAGGTTTTAAAAAAATGTGCAGAAAGCACAGTATTTTATTTAGAACATATATGTATATCTGCAAAACTTTAATTCAACATTTCATTCAAACCTATGGTAAACTTTCTCTTGCAAGTGAATTGCATCTGGTAATGAAATGTAATTTGAACTGTGAACAAAAATTTATCTCAAAGGCTAGTCATAAAGGTGAAATACCTATATTTTCAGAAAGTGGATGCTAAAAAAAAATGCATGAAAAAACAGATAAACGTGATACTCAATATTTTAGTATTAAAGGAGAAAAGAACTCTAAAACTGATGCACATTTGCAGCTGCACTTGACAGAGTTTGTGCTCACAGCTTGCACGAGCTCATCTAACAACTTTAATGAATCATAAAGATGATAAAATGTTATCCTTTGAGAAGGGGATTAATGCATTACTAATAACTTGGTGAAAATTTGTGACAACCGAATGTGTTTTAATTCATGATGATAGCAAACAACGAAAACATCCATATCAAAATAATTAACACAATGCTTGAACTCACAAGTGAAATATAGACTGTTTAAAATAAATCTGTTCAACATTACCACCTTTACAATGCTACTGTGTGTACTCCAGAGGAAGGATTCACATCGATGCAGCATCTGCCATGCATTTAGTTATACGCTACATTTCTCCCCCCCCCCTCCACTTCATGAAGAATATAAGCAGAACCATACATATGTCCAACAGTAGACAGAAGGCATTTAACATTCTCAGGTATTAGCATAATTAATACATTATCAAAAATGTAACAGCCTCATTTATGTGCCACTTTTGCCTTGTCTATCAACTAGTTGTCTCAAATTCTTTGCATCTTCAACCTTGTGATGTCCCTCATTTTGTTTTGTTTTCTTCTGTTGTTAGTGTTGAATATTTTCTAGCACTCCTGAGACTATGTAGATCTAAATTTGTTTGGAAAAGGCCTAATACCAAACAGCAATCTAACACTATGTATGTGGTTCAATAGCTATTTATCAATTGATCGTTATCAGGATCTGCTTATGTTAACTCTTTTGTGGCTGATGGGGAAAGGACCTACCCTACTATCCCAAACATTTAACCTCAGTACTGTGGTCCAAAAAATACAACATGCAAGTTATATAACTGTTTTACATTCCATTGCTGAATATCAATAAAACCTAGTATGTGTTACATCAACTATATATGCAGATACCCCTTATAACTGTGCAGTAGTGGTACACAGTACATAGGAAATGCGCATCTCCACTATGAGATGAACTTTTTACTTTCAGTGAACATCAGACACAAAGAGTTGCTTATTCACCTTAGGTTGATTACATTTCTATAACAGCTTACTGTATCAGCAGTAATCAGGGTCCCTCTACAGGATATATCAAAATATACCTTATTCAAATATATTCATCCTGCCTAAGCTATGTTGCTTAAACTCTTCCATAGACAACTGCTATAGATTACTATTCACACAGTCGGTTTTTTAATCAAAATATTGTTTTATAATTAATATTCATTATTATTTTCTTGCTATAAGCATTAAAAAAGCCTAATGGCACTACCTTCTCCCTTTTTGTACAATACAATGTCTCTTAGGTAAATGTGAGCTCATTCAACTTATTTCCTGCATTACAAAAATCTAACTGAAAAGCACAAATCATTTAATAACTCCTCGTTTGGATAAGGAAGTACATTAGTTACTATTACTCGGTGTGGGATCATAACTGGAAACTACGTTTTAAAAAGTCAAATAATCTCTGGAAAGGGAGCCACCCTGTTAAAAAGCTTCAGTTTGAACTTCCCTCCCCTGCTTGAGCTGAGTCCAAGATGAAAGTTTTTCTTTTTTTTCTTTTTTCACCCAGAAGAGCCAAGTAATTGTGCAAGAAGAGCTACAGCACGCAGGACGCGTATCACCAAGTGCATGGTACAGAGACACTGGCTCCTGTGATTAATTATCAGTTATTACTGGCCTTGCAGTAACATTTTAGCTTTCCCGTCAAAACCAGCATACCAAGCTGCCTTAAACGCGGCCCCCGGTGAAGGAGCAACTCTGGGGAGGACGCCAAGGCACAGCTCCGCAGAAACAGTGTGTGTGTGTGAGAGAGAGAGAGCCCCGACAACTGAAACTGTCTCCTCTAACGACCCTCAGCGCTGTGCTGGCAGCAATTCCAGAACAACTGCTCTCTACTCCTTAGGTCTGAATAAAGCTGTTTTCTGCCACATGAAGTCAATTAAGCTGCTCTGAGGGGCCCCCTAAATTTAGTATCAGTCTGATTTGGGGGCTTATGGATTCTGGAAGAATGAAAGGACTTTTGCTGGGACAGCAGATACTTTTATTTATAGGAAAGGGAGGTAGGGGGAAAAAGGAATGAAACAAAACCAAGGCAAACAAAGAAAGAAACCAGTCTTACCATGAGAAAATCTCTGTTTGGAAACTTTAAAACAAAATGCCTTGCTTTTACTTCAAGCTTTATTTTTTTTAAAAGGAGCCCTTAGGGAAGCAATGAAGTAACCATGCACATCCCAATGACATACTTATGACAGATCAGAGGCTATGCTGTGATAAATTTTTTTTTAAATTAAACATGGAAAAAAAATTTACAAAAAAAATCACTAAATACCATACTTTAATATAAATGGAAAAAGACACATACCTGTTGGGACATTCTGAATAAGAGGTTAGTGTCAGCGTTCTGCCATGTCCCCATGAAACCAGATTCGGTCGTTGCCGTTCTTGTTCCGAACTGCATGGAGTTGTCAGTGCAGGAGTCTCGTAAAGTCAAGTCTCTTGCCCTCTTTCGCTCTCTGTGTCTCTGTGTGTCTCTGTCTCTCACATCCACTTCTGCCTCTTCTGACTGAAAAGTGAAGGTGGATTTTTTGAGCCTCTTGGTAGCCAGTAGCAAGAGTGTAGTGTAGTTAGGAAGCTAGCTGCACTGTGCATTTCATTTGGAAAAGGGGGGAGGGGGTTCAGGGGAAAGGGTCAGAGCTTCTTTCGCACCTTCTGCACAGATACCCCTATCATTTATGCATAGATTGTGACTCCCCAAGCTCGCCTTCGCTCAGTTTAACAGCTGCCTGTCAGGTGTGCATGCAGCACTGAGGAGACTGAACCATCAGCTTCAAACTCTCAGCCACTGGATGTCATTGGATAGCAGAGCAAAGAGTCAACTGCACTGCTCCACTATCAGGCACCAAATGACATCCTGCACTAACCCCTCTCAGTCAGTCTACAGATACATACACACACACACACACACTCTCACTCTCACTCTCTCTCTCTCTCTCTCTCTCTAACTAGCACACTGATCAGAATGATCACAGTGAACTGGAAGGAAAAAAGGCTGTGGCCCCCCCCCCCCCCCCAACAATGTTGTCAAGTACAACATGCAATATCTGACACTTACCTGCCACACAGGATCTGTAACCCATTTAAAAACTGATTATTCTTAAATACTGTCAATATTAACTTAAAAGAAAAAACAGAGAGTTGGACTGGTTATTTTCTAAATATTAGATATCAGGCTGCCAACTACTGTGGGACAGTCCCTTCCCATCCCAAACAAAACTCTGACGAAAGAGGCAGAAGAAACATCCAACTCCTTTTGAAATTAAACAAAAAAAATCACATGCACATTTCATCTCTCACAACCCTGTTCCTCTTGTTAATCACTTAACTGTCTCAAGTAGCATCTTTGGAGAAGAAGGGGGGATGTAGAAAGGAAGCGTCTACTTCATTTTTCTCCTCAAATGATGAAAAGTAGAGCTTTTTTTTTTTTTTTTTAAGTTCCTGGATTAAGCACACATAATATACCTTCAAACCATAAAGGAGAGAGAGATGAAGCAGGAAAAAAGCCAATGCCACTCAGACGAAAAGTAATTCAAAGAGAATGACATTTTTTTTTCTTTCAAGATCGTTCCCCTGCACTTATTAAGGTAACATTTTTATATATCAAGAAAAACAATCCTGATACTGAGCAGATTTTTAATTAGCATGGCTTTAAAATAAAGCCAATCTTATTTGCTAATAAACTGTTACCTTCTTTACCCTGTGTGTGAAGGGGGGGAAAAATCACAACTATGTGAACTACATAAACACTATAACTTCAAAAATGTAAAACAAAATTGATGCCATCTCATAAAAGCAGTGAGGGTAAAAAAGCTATCCTTTCTAAACTTAAAATGTAAGGAACATTCATCTTCTAATAAAATCTACAAATTTAGGAGGACAAATGTAGCACTCTCTCCCCTTTTCCTTAACTCAAGAATAACAATAAACCTTACTCTCTGAAACAACAAAAGAAACAGAAGAAAGCTTCAGTGGCAGCTCTATGTCATTAGCGTGCAATGAGAAAAGATGAGAAAACGTACACTATGTTGACACAAATGTGCCTTCCCCTTTAGATCCTACGTCTCCTGAAAGCTTTTCTGTTAAACTTTCCTCCAGTTCACCACCATTAAGTATGAAAAAAAAAAGTCTCAAAAGCAGCAATTCAATATCTGAGAAAAAATAAAGAACCCAAAGAAACTGTTTTAAAATATATTAAGTCCACCTGTAGTCAATAAAAATATTCTTGTTGGGGGGTACCCTATGAGGCAATTGTGCCAACAGTGGCTGTACCTTTACAGTTAGCTATTACCTACTTAAACTCCCTCTAAAATTTGCTAGCCTCTTGATTTCTGAAGTGGCACTCAGTGCCTCAGTCAAGCTGCCTGCTCAGCTCCTGACCTTCCCACTAATGGCTGTTATTTGTGGGAGGCTTAAGGACACCGTCAATAGCAAGCTTCCTCCTCTATTCTCTTCTCTCTGCATCTCTCATGCTCTTCTCTCCCTCCTCCGCCCCCCCCCCCCCCGGCTTTTGGTGGGGGGGAGCATGTGCGTGCACATACACGCACACAAAATCAACTGCCATGCAGCGACAAGCACCTGCAGTAATAGACTCTTTTATTAAAACTGTTATTCTGCAAGACTTGAAATTCCCGGTGGACTGGGCCATGTCAAAGCCGATATAATTAACTAGAGGCTCAGCAACGGATCAATTACCAGACAAGCAAGTGATAGTGAAATCAATGAAAGATCATCAGCCACATTATCAGTGTTGCAACTCATTAGGGTAAAACTGAGAAATGTGCTCAAAGCGAGCCCAAGCAAGGTGGCATTACAAAACAAAGGGCTAATTTGGAGACCCTGCTGTGAACAATCTGTAGCAGAATTAGCCTTTTTTCCCCCTAAACTGCACAGCTCTGTAACTAAATGTGACAGACTGAAAGAAGCAGTTTATTAAGACACCAACTCCGAGTTTATTTAGTTCATAAACTCTCTCCTAGAAAATCAATACAGTCTGTACAGGGTTATTAGGCTGACTAGCTAATACATCCAAATCTCGTCTTCCTAGGCAGTTGTCTTGGCCAAAATACTACCTACGATAGGAGAATTCACAACAGCTTCAGATCATGGTATCAAAAGAGAACCATCGCTTTTTTGTCATATACACCGCTGCCACATCACAGCATAACTTATTTATCTTATTTTTGCTAAGATAATAAATGTAATGGAGGAAGAAAAGTTATACTATAAACAGTTCCAGTCATCCTCAAATCTACCTTAGCCAAAAGGCATCTTGTTTCACTGTCATTAATGCCAACATATACAAGTACGAAAACAAATACCTGATGCATCTGAAAAGGGATATACAAAGAACTAGTCACTAAAGGGATAACAGGAACTTCTGCAGGAAAACTAAGATGGAAGTACACTTGCTAGAGTAATAGACTAAGTCTCTTCTACATCTTTTCTAAGTCTGCAACAACTTGTATTTGAAACAAGACAAAATAACATGAGATTTATAAAACAATAGTCCAAATCTAAGCATAGAACCCAACATTCCCCTCTGACATCTATCCACCTCCTCCTCGTTGTTATAATAATAGGGAGGTATATTGGGGGGCGGGGGGGGGGGATCACCTCAAAGAGCACACGTGCTTCTTGTTAGTACTCAAGTTTGGCAAACACTGAGAGGATCATTATTTTTTTCTCTCCCTTCTTTGACTTTCTCTTTCTACAGCCACAAACAAGATATTTGCTCTGAAAATATTTAGGTTAAATCCTTAAGAAGAGGAGTTCAAGAAATAATCTTCACTTCCATCGTAGCTTTCTAATTATCCATATAAAATTCACAGATGTCACTGTTAACCCATACTACAGTACTATGTATTGCAACATAAAGGGAACTGGGAATCACATTGCTTTTCTCAGTTTATGCAACTGTGCTTATGCTGAATACTATACTATAACTTGAATAATAGTGAAAATCCATAACCAGTAGTTATTTTGGTCGTTTGCCTGTGTAGTGCAAACATTTAAGGAGGCTTGCAATCTGCATTTGAAGTACAGGCAATTTTTTCAACCTCTGAAGACTACAGAAGACTTTTACAACATTAAGTAATTTTGTGGATTTTATTTTGAATATAAAATTATCTATTACGTTCTTCTCCTAAAAAGGTATCAAGACTACCACCTTTGGCAAGTAAAGATAACACACTTTCCACATATTACGTTAAAAAAAAACAGGATAACTACATAGAGCCAGTAGGTGATTATAAGTACCAAAGACATTACATAATGGTAACATTTTTTTAATTGTTCCAAATACCAATATCATGAACATTTAAGAATTAATTAGTTCAGTCAAAGGATTAATAAAAATTCATTCAAATCATTATGTTTTTAAATACTGTTTTTTTTCTTTTTGCTCCAATTATATTGTATTAAGCAAGCTGTTAAACATGCAACATTTACTAACCTTTTAATGTTCAATAATATGTAAAGTCTTTAAAGAGGATTTTTTATTACAAGCCTATGCTTTAGATATTAATCAAGAAAATAATTACAGAGGAATTTTGAAAAATAAATAAATAAAAGCTGCATGCATATAACTATGGACTGTATATGTACTTTCAATGAGGCCCAATTAGTTGGAAAGCATTTGCATTTCAGTTAGTATAAGCTAACAAGACTGTAGGGAGACAATGCAATTCTACTATCAGGACAAGAAAGAATGCTGTTTTCCTGTAAGTATGAATTCCCAAAACTGATCATTTTAAAAATGTTACTGATCTTTACTATATTTGTTTTTCTAACATCTAGGAGTTCACTATAAATGTTTATATTAACTATACATGCAGAGTGTCCCACAGATCACTCTTGGGGAAAAAAGACAGCAGCGGGCGCAGATTAATTCATTTATACTGGAGATCTAATTACTTTATAATAATTGTTAATCGATGATTTAAAATGAGCACTCCTCAACTGTGGCTTTGGTCCTAAGACTTGATAAGATATAATTAAAACATGAGAAAACATAATTTTGATTTAAATATAACTGGTTACAACAGCAAAAATACATATATTCTAAAATGTGATCTGCTAACTGAATACACAATTTGTCTAGGTACACTTGATTGTCTTACTGTATAGTACCTGTAATTCCCAGAGTTCAGTTTGTTGAAGCTGTTAACAGATTCTGTAATCTGTAATGACAGTAAACTGGCCTTTGCTCTTCTCTTATTCACTATTCATTTTCAAGGCTCGGTTAAGTAGATAGCTGGGTTAAAGATCAGTAGTTTTTCATGTGACACACTCTGGTATTCATCTAATGACTTGTCAGGACAAAACTGTCCCTGTTCTTGCCAAAATAATAAAAATGGTCCTCCACATCGCATGACAATCAGCCCTTCCTTGTGTTGAAACAACCCATCTTATTTGATGAAGTTGGTTTATAGAAATTTTATAACTGAATAGCTGACATTGCTCCAATAAAATGGATGAATTTCCCCAAGTGAGATAAAATAATGCTACTGTCACTGAATTCTGAGTTCCCATTTTTTCCCACTCCAGCTCATTTGAAAAAGTGGGTTTTCACCATGAAAGCTTAAAATACTACATATACTTTTGTAGTCTCTAAGATGCCATAGGACTATTTGTTGTAACTAAAATAACGTATGCACAGTCTGTAATCAAACATGCTTGTACATTACTCAAGAATAAAAGTAAAGTTGTGGATTTACTCCTTATTGGGAAGAGGTCCTAACTTAATACTTGAGAATTATGCAAAAATAACATGTTCTTCACACTCATATAGGTGGCAATTCAATTTAGGAAATGTAATCCCCCCCCCCCCAAGTGTCTTATTCTGTAATAA